ACAAATAGTAGGAAATTGTGTTCTTTGAAAATGGGGGAATTCTAGTTTGGATAGATTTGATTGTTGTCTAAGTTTTAAACTGGAGAAAGCATTAAGTTTGAACCTGTACTGAGACATATCATATAGGGTACTAAACAACCATTATATGAACATCTTTTCAGGATCATATTAATCAGGTTGGAACCTTGAATTAATCAGAGTTACAAGATGTATTTCAAAATGTAGTTAATTTTTATATCACATTCAGAGAGAATTTGTTTAGAGAATTTACTATTTTGTTCTATTGATGCAAAGCTAAACACACTGAACGTAGTGAGATATGAAAAGGGAGAGGAGAATCATTGAGGTTCTTCAGTTGCAGCTTGAAGCTCCTTCTGCCTTTGACCCATTTCCAGGTGTATACTTTTGTTGTCTGAATGCAAACAGTGTGCAGTTAGGGGGGGTGTATTTAAATGTACACCCATCTATGTACTTGCTCCCCTTGTAGTAAAGGACGAGACCATGCTTTGTTTTGATTTTTCAAAATTTTCATTTTACAAAGAAATGCATTTTCTAACAACTATTGTGAGCTGTTGGGGACGGGGGCGGGGGTGAGTGTTTGTGTTTATTTTGAGGATGTTAATGGGGCAATGAATGCATTCAAAATTCTTGTATATCCCTGGCTATGAACCACCTAATGAACTTGGAGTGGTATGCTAGCTATGTATAGCTGCCAGAACCTACCACTTTATCCATGATGAGGACAGCAATCACAGGAAGAAAGGTTTTTCAGGAAGCTACCAGAAATAGCAGAGTAAATAAGAGGCGCATGTTGTCGTCAGCATACCAGAACAAATGGAGTGTGGACAACAGTGTGGTTAAGAGCCCTGTAGCTGGAGAAGAATGTGAGCTAATTCTTGTTTGATATGTACAGCATGCACACTAACTGAGGCATACTGGGAATTGTAAGCTTGTTTTGCATAGCATTGCATCTTACATTGTTTAAGAAGCTGAAAGAGCCCCAGAGCCCCTTGTCATAAGAAAGCATCTATTTGCAGCAGGAATACACACTGCAGCCATAACTAGTGTGTGTTGGGAGAGAGATGCTAAAATATAGTAATTTTCTGTGGTTTTTCTTGGATGACTACTGCTGATCACTAGCTTTATTATCTGATTTAGTTGAACTGCTTGACTGCAAATTATTAAAATGACATCTCTAAAAGTGCAATTATCAAACATCAACATAGATAATAAAATTCAGATTTTCCTAAGATTTGTTTAAAATAGAAACATAAGGTCATAGAAACAGAGATAAAGTGAGTCAGAAGGGGCCTCCCAGGCAATCTAGTCTGATGCCTAGCTATATCTGGCTCTACTCATGTAATCCCGAACATGTGGTTGACCAATCTTCCCTTGAACACCCTCAATGATGGGGCCTCAACCACCTCCCTTGGAAGCCCATTCCATATCCTAGGCGTCCTAACCATCAAGAAGTACTTCCTGACATCCAACCTGAAGCCTGGTTCCTTGAGCTTTGCCCCACTGGAGTGCATCTTGCCCTCCACTGCAGGTAAGGTCACGACCCGCCTTTACGTGGCATCCCTTCACATACCTATAAGTCACTAAAAGATTCCCTCAGTCTCTTCTTCAGGCTGGAAAGACCCAGTTCCCTCAATCTCCCCAGATACGCATCCCTACCAACAAGGTTACCATTCTTGTGACCCCACACTGAACCAATTCTGACCTGGCTATGTCTTTCCTATAATGCAGATCCCAGAAATGGATGCAGTACTTCAGTTGTGGACGCACCAGAATAATTTGGATTGGTATCAACACCTTCCTAGATCAGGAAGCCACACTTCTGGCTATACCTCAGGGGTCTCAAACTCATGGCCCGCGGACCAATTGCCGGGATGGGTGGGCACGGGGGAGGGGTCCTGCAGCCTTCAAAGCGCCGGCAGCACCTTGGCTGGCCACGGGATGAGCGGCCCAGCCTCACCCAGACTCTACTTCCAGTGGCTTCCAAGTAAGTTGAGTTTGAGACCCCTGCTGTACATCCAAGGGGTGCATTTGCCTTCTTAACTGCCTTGTCATGCTCCTGGCTAATTTTCAGCCTGCTGTTGACAAGTACCCTGAGATCTCTTTCACAGGTGCTGCTCTCCAGCCACTTGTCCCCCATCCTCTACCTGTGACACCTATTCCTGTGTTGAAAGTGCAAGACCTTGCACTTATCCACATTGAATGCCATTGAATGTTGTCTCCCACCCACTTCCACAGCTTGTCTAGATCCTTCTGGATCTGGATCACCTGTTCCTGTGTTGTGGCCACCACCCCCACTTTGGTATCGTCCATGAATTCAGTCAGCAGACTGGTTATCCATTCCTCCGGGTCACTGATAAAAAGGTTGAACAGAATCGGTTCCAGAACTGAGCCCTGGGGAACTCTGCTTGTCACCAGCTGCCATCCTGATGATTCCCCACTGATAGTAAGCCTCTGCTTCTGGTCCTTCAACCATGTCCTAATCCATCAGACAGTGTTTCGATCTATCCCAAAGCTCAACAGTTTCTTGACCAGAATATCATGCAGCACTTTGTCAAAGGCCATGCTGAAATCTAGGTAAACCAATTCTACTGCATTCCCTCTGATTAGCCACCCTGAGACCTCATTGTAGAATTCCACAACCATAGACTATTGGTAAAGTGTACTGAGCATCTCAGTGTTTGAATGGCAATTGTATGTCATAGAATTGGAACACAGCTCAGGACAGCACAGCAAAATTCAGTGGCATCAATTAGTTCTTTTATGTGCAGTAAAATTATTCAGGATCTATTACTGTTATTTGCATTACCTATTAAATGTTTTATAAGTGCAGCTCAACCCATTCCAAATACTTGGGCCTAAATTAACTTGTATTTTATGGAGTTACTACCAGACAAACATGGTTAGGGTTAGTGAAATAAATGCTTACGTAAATGAGACATTCAGAATACAAAACTTTCCCAATTTGGAAATCCCATAGTCACTACAAACCAAACTAAAGAAGCATAGAATCATAGAAAAGCAGAGTTGGAAATGGCCAAGGAGGCCATCAGGTTCAACTATCTGCTGGTGCAGGATGCCTGTTACAGCATCCCACTCTGATAACTATTTTCTTCTTGAATGCCTCTAGTGCAGAAGAGCACCATTTTTATCAATATAAAATAAATTATTGCAAGTTCCTTCATTTTCCAATATCTGAAACACTTCAAGCAAATCAGAAATATGCTAAAATATTTTCTGTTCAGTATTACTTCTTGGTGTAATTTTCATATAAGTAGTGATATGCTAAATCTATACAAGATTTATGGTGATTTGAAATGTTACCCTAAAAAATACAGATATAAAATATAATTCAGTTTTCAGAGCTACCTGATGTCTATCCTAACACATCACATTGTGTAAAACACTTTCCTATCCCAAGCATACTTCACCAGATTTTCTTTTTAACCTTTACACCTTTATAGATTTCCATATGTGATAACAAGAGACCAAAGGTATTGGGGTGGGGGGGTAATCTCTTTTTAATTGCTTCAATGCCATTACAGAAAGATAAGTATATAAAAAAGAAAATTCAGACAAGTCAATATTCTAATGAAAATTTTTCATTTTCACATTAAATGAATCCGATAGCTATCATTTTCAGCTTTCTGTTTTGCAGAGGTATTAGCAATGGAGTTTCTTGAAGCAACTGATATTCTGAAATCAGAACTCATCCCTTTAGTTCTGGCACTGTAATGACATGCTTATACCAGTGTTATATCTGAGGAGAGAAGTGCCTTTCTAAATATAATGCTATAATCTAAAACCAATTTCATAACTCTAAATTATGCAGCTGCATTAATAACCAGAACTCCCAGGTCCAAACACATAAAACCAGTTCTAACTCACTCACATTAGCTGCCTGTGTGCTTCCAGATCCAGTTCAAGGTCCTGGTTTTAACCTATGAAGTATTACATGGCTTAGGACAGCAATACCTACTGCAGTGCCTCTCCCAGTCACAGTCTAGGCTCAACTTCTGGGGTCTTCCTGAGGGAAGTGTGCAGGGTGGCAACAAGGGGGAGAGCTTTCTCTATGGGGGCTTCCCATATATGGAACAACCTCCCCACTGTGGCCCAGCTAGCACTGAGTTTGTCATTTGTTTGATGCCAGATTAAGACAACCCTTTTATCTGAGGTTTTTAAGATTTCTTTGACCACCCAGGAGCTTTAGTGCGATTACCCATTCCAGTAATTTATGCTATTGTCTGTTTTATGTCTTTTAATTTTTTAAAATACGTTTTTCCAATTTTATGACATTTTATTGTATTTTTACTGTCTGCTTTTTATTGACTGTTGTAAGCTGCTCAGAGAGCTTCAGCTGTGGGGTGGTATAGAAATGAAATAAATAGTCTGGGTTTCCAGTTCTGAGACAAAGTTCAGGGTTCAGAGCTGAGAATCCAATCACTGAACTCTTCTGTACCTTACAGCCAGCACAGAAAGAATTGCACAGGGTTACCTCTGATGTTGGGAAAGTGATCTTGGGCAGGAGTAAAAGAGGGCAACTCAGGGAGAAAACTATCTTAACTACAGCAGTTAAGATAGGTGGCCATCCCAGCTTCCTTCCCCTCCACTCCCCACCCAAGTGTTCCAGGTTGTTGATCTAAAAAGCATATCTATTGAAATTGGAAACTGGGAGGATGGAGAAGCAAGTATTGTCTCTGTTACTTTTCTGATTCCGCATTGGATGCCCATAGCTTCTGCATCTGGGGACTTATGGGCATCCCAATATAATTTCCTGGTAAAACTATTTGAGCTGATTTTTGACGTTTGCAGTTATTACAAATAGTCTGGAGAGCAGGTATTTTAGATTTGTATGTTCTTGGAAATATCTTAATTTATTAGAAAATGAGCTCTTACAAACATAAACAGCAAATGAACAGTTCACAAATACTTCTTTATATGCTTTCTATGAATAAGCCTTTGTTTGTTTTGAGCAGACTCACTCTGAACTCCATGGGAAAGAACAACTTTCCATGTTTCTGAAGTAACTTCTTTCACATCCACTTGGTAATGATGAATTGGGACACCTCCATGTGAGTCTGGTTTATTGAAAGATACTGTAGCAAAAGTCTGTGATATCTCTACAATTTTCACTCCATGTGGACTGGATGGCACATCTAGAGAAGACCATTGAAGAATTAGAGGAGTGTAACCAGCCAATATACTGTTTAACAATGAACACATATAATTGGGAAGAAAAAAGGTGGTAAAATATGTAAATGCTGCTGAATTTATGTGTGCTTAAACAGTTCAAACTTCACTACAGTACCATAACATTATGCTGTACAGGAAGTGCAACAGCAGACATCTGTTAGCAAGTTTAAATTTCCACTCAATTCTTTCTCCTCTGTCATCTGCCTGGCTAAACAACCTTATTAACTTTCTAGGACCACACCAACTCCAACTGCAATTAGGAACCAATTGCCCCAGATACTATACTAATGCTTGCATCTCCACTTCTCCAAGATCTTCACATCATATTCCACACAGGATATTCCTTCCATTTTATCACTATAATCAAAGCTGTCCCACAAAACTGTCCTTCCTTTCCTTGAGCTTCCTCTTCTCATCTTGCCATATCTTTTGGTGTAATGATCACCTTCATGTTTTTGTTTGACCCTATGATCCTATTTCCTCCAAAGTGCTGTCCCATTATGTTGTTCTTAAGGATGAACATCTACTTTGGATAAAGCCTGATTACTGAATCAAAGTGGCTTGCTTTAGAAGCATTTGAACTGATTCCAAAACAGAGTGGCTCTTGTTCAAATCAATACTAAATGAAGAGAGCTGTTCCTAACACTTATGACCCACATCAGAAGGTGCTTTGTTTCAGTTTAGTGTAAAATCAAAATTGATATAATTTCACACCTTCCACAGGCAAACTTTTTATAAAACAAAAGCGGGAAAGAGAGCACTGTATATAGTTTTGTGATTGACAAATATGGGTTCCATCTGGAAATGGTTTTATGAAGACTGTCTAAGCACAGTGCTTGTGGGGAAGAAGTACCATATCATACAATCAACTGGGGCTCCGCTTCAAATATGAAGAAATACGGTAGTCTGAAAAACTTACTATCTGAATTACTGAAACAATCCTTGCTCCAACATTCTGAAGTGAATTCAGATTTTTTTTTTTCCTTTGTGCACATCCAGACTACTAATTACTTTTTACCATGAAAATTATTGCTCATTTAGGAATTAATTCTTTCCATCTTGTAAATGTCTGATTTGTTGTAAAATGCATGTGGAAAAATATTACAAATATAAAGAAAATATGAAACCAGGATACAGGGATGTGCACAGCATTTCAGCAGTGTTGGGCCATGTTCATCAGGTCCTCTGAATTCCAAAGTGAGGTGGACTTCCCTCTGAAGGCACTGCAGGATGAAACATTGTCGCTGGCCCATGGTTCAGATATGATGCATGTCTTCAAATAATGCTTTTTCATTGTGTTTCTCAAAATCAGGGCTGTGGCACATACTGCCTGTGGGCTACATATGTGTTTCTCACATACTACCACTGTGCACCCATTGTGCCGTTAATTTGGTGGTATCAAGAAAACAGGGAAAGGAATGGTATATGCAGTGCTACAGAGAACTTCAGGTAACTTTCAAAAAAAAGGTTGAAAGTTACATTTGACTACTTTAACACTCTGCTACTAAGCTGATTTATAAAGGGGCTAAATTTTACCCTTGGCCTGTTGCAGAGCAGTTTGATGCCAATTTCAGTACTGAAAAAATGAACACGTTGATATTTAAAATGGGGAGAGAGTGCTCCCCAAAGCTCATGCTATTGCTCACCCCTACTTTAAATGCAATAGGGGGAGGGAGAAGCAGTTAGATCCACCTTCTAATATTAGGACATGTTTCACCATGGGTCCAATGCCTGTGTTATAAGACCATGAGATGGCCCTTCCTTCTAATGCCACCATGCTTCATAATGAAACAGTCTTACACTGGTCTTCAGTTTTCATAGCTCCCTACCATGGCAAGCTTCTTGCCTGCAGACACCTCTAGACTGCCTGTAATTTTCAGAAGAAAAAACATTCTACAAAGATCAGAGGAGTATAAGTGTGCTTCTTGTGGAAATGCTCAAAATGTCAAAACTGCTCTTGCACGAACTCTTCTGTAACTATCACTCTGAAATTCAGTAGGTGTGATCTTTTCAGAAGACAAAAGTGCTGCTGAAATTTATATCAAATTATACCAGAAGTTTTTTAAAAATATCAACAGAAGGGTGCAATACTTGTGAAATATTTGCTTGGCAAAAATCCCCCCACCCCGCATCCCCACAGGTTTGATGGAATTTATTGAATTGCATATCCCATTATTTCTTCACAGATAAAATGTTTCGCAATAAAAAAGTTCCCATTCTTCTCTTTTTAAACTCCTTTTTTAAAGAATGTATTAAGGGTCATTCTCATAAAACTGATAAAGAAAATGTTAATTGCTTATAAAGGAGGCACAGTGACATTTAACATGCATAATCAACCTTTAAGAATTGTAGAATAATTAGAGTAAATGAAGTCAGAGAGCAAGCTATGTAACCATTACTTTGCAAGAACCTGGCTTTCTAACAAGACTTGTGCCTTTAGTCTGCAACCGTAACTGGTGCAAAGGAATACAGTTCCACTAGTCCCTACTTTACATCAGTAATAAGCTGCTAAATTTATGTGCTGTTGTAGAACAGATAGCTAAAATAGGCCATTGTGAAAGCTTGTGTAGCTGTCATATTGTTGCTTTTGGATGGAAATAGAACACTCTATTTTAAGTCTATTATTTGCTAATTAACCACTGATTTACCTTTGAAAAAAAATAATGCTGTAAATTTAATAACCACCCAGTCTAAAGAGACAATACTTCAACACAGATTAAATAGGTTATAAGAAGAGAACCAGTGGGCCACACCCATCTTTCTGCAGTTCACTTCTTTGAGAAGTCTATTAGTCTACCACACTTCATACTATTGAGAAAATGTTAGACCTTTGCTCCTGTAGGCATCTGTTGCCACACTAATTGGCTGGTCCTCATGAAAAACATTTCAGTAATCTGATAGTTGGGTCAAATAAAACTCATTGTCATGATTTAAACCAAAATTAAAATGGTAATAAGGAAATAGAATTGAACTCAATGGGACTTACTATATTCATGGGATTACACTGGAATCCCATCAACATAGGATTACACTGGAACAGCACAATTATATGCTTTTAAGCTCCACTGATTCTATGGTACTTACTGATATATATGTGTGACTGAATTCCAAATTTATTTGGCATTTTATATTTCTATTTTCTGGCAACAAAAGATGAATGATTATGCAATTTTCAGGGAAGGCATGTGGAATTAAAGAAGTGATGCAAGAAACTCACTGCTGAATCTCCTAGGATAGCTCTTGGTGGGCAGGTACAGTCTCAAAACAGTGAAACTGTATGGATCTTGCTAAAGCTGTGGGTGTGTACTGATAATATCTGTTTGCTTTGTAAGTTATCCTTTGCTTTCATGAGATATTTATTTTATACATTAAATTGGGATATACATTCATAAATAATAGAGAAAATTAATGTACCTACTTACCAGCCAAGGCAAGGATATATTCTTGATATCGTGTTCCTATTCTGTTTGTGGCTGTGCAGTTGTACCGTCCAAAATCATTGTCAGATGTGGGAGCAATCTTGGGAACAGGAGGAAGGAGAGATACATACCAATTTGCATCAGTGTGTATGTGAAAACATGCAGCCAACTGCAGGCACCGTGCCTAGATGTAAAAGATTCCCATAAACCCTCTTTCCCCATCTTTTCTCATAAGTAGTTATTTTAATTTTATTTCTATACCTCCCAATAGCCAAAGCTCTCTGGTGGTTTACAACAGCACATAAAATACAGTGCAAATCCAGTATAAAGTACAGATACCAAGAAAATCAAAAAATGCAAATTTGAAAGTCATGTGTAAGCTAAATGTAAAAATGACTTACACAAATTAAATCACAAGATCTTTTATGATGTTGATATAATGTCTCTATATAGTATACAACCAATCAAATGCCCTGTCACTGAGGCCAGGCTTAACCTGGCACCAAAAAGATATTAAAGTTGGCACCAGGTGGACCTCAATGGGGAATCTGTTCCATAAGTGGGAGCTGCCACTGAGAAGGCCCTTCTCCTTGTTGCCAACTGAACTCCTTCTGAGGTGGCAGTCACAGGCAGACCTCGATTGCAGTGTCCAGGCAGATTGCAGTTGAAAGAGGGTTTCTGTCAGGTTTCTGTCAGGCACTGAGGTCCCAAGCCATGTAGGACTTTAGAGGTAAAAACAAGCACCTTGAATTAGACTTGGAAGCATATAGGCAGCTAATGTGAGCAGGTCAACATTATATGTTCAGATAATTTGACCCCTGTTATTAATCTGGCTGACACATTTTGCACAAGTGGAAGCTTCTGAATAGTCTTCAAGGGCAGTTCCACATGCAATGCATTGGAATAATTTAGCCTAGAAATTAATTGACCATAGAATACTGAAACCAGGCTATCCCTGTCCAGGTAGGGGTGTAGCTGGGTCACAAGCAAAATCCAGTAGAAGGCACCCAAGCCTCATGTGACAAAAATAAAATGAGAAACAGACCCAAGCTACAAACCTGGTGTGTCAAGGGGATTATAATCCCATTCAGAATACAGTGGTACCTTGGCTCATGAACTTAATCTGTTCCAGGACTCTGGTTGTGATCCAAATTGGTGTGGGCCAAGTCAAATTTCCCCATAAGGGTCAATGTAAATAAGGTTAATCCATTCTCCAACTATTTTTTTTTTTACTCACAAAAATTTGAAGCAAAGTGACCAACAACAACAAAGATTGTGGCCATCTTGCCACCCCAGCAATTGTGTGGGGGGAGACGGGCACAATTGCAGGCGCGCTGGGGGGAGGCGGGCATGGGCACACGGGGGGACAGGTGCGGGCACACGCAAGCAGGTAACACGGGCGCAATTGCAGCCATCTTCCCCTCCCCAGCACAACTGTGATCATGCCCATGTAGGGAAGGCGGGTGCGCTCACAATCTTCAGCCGATGCAGAGTTCGCGACCTGCAGCAAAATTTTATGAAATTTCTGTTCACAACCTGATTTGGTTGTGAATTGAGGCATTCGTGAGCTGAGTACGAACAAAACACCCTTTCTTCAGTCAGAGGAACCATCCACCAACAGTATCTCAGCCTTGTCCAGATTGAGCTTCAGTTTGTTAGCCCTCATCTGGTCCATTGCTATGGCCAGGCATGGAATAAGCACATCTAAAGCCTCATCTGCTGAAGCTGAATGGAAAAATAAAGCTGTGTGTCATCAGCATACTGATGGCAGCCTATTCCAAAACTCCAAATAACTCAATCAGTGGTTTCATGAAGATGTTAAATATCACGGGGGCCAAAAACACCCTCTGAGGAACTCAGCACTGGAGAGTCTTGGGAGGAGATCATTATCTACACCAAGTGCCATCTTTTAGAGCTGCCTATCCAATTCAATCAGGAACCAGTGCAATGCAGCACTTCCAAATCAGCTGACATTCCAGAAAGATACCTTTGTCACTGGCATGGAAAGCTTCCAATAGATTGATGAGCACTAATAGGCTCATGCATCCCTATTTTTCTCCCAGTATAAACCCCAACTAAATTGAATCCAGATAATCAAAGTTATTCAGAAGAGACTGAAACTAGCCGGCTACCACCTGTGCAAGAACCCTGCCCAGAAAGAGAGTATTTGCAGCAGTCTAAAATTGCAAACATCTTGTTCCAGAGAAGGTTTCCTCAAGAGTGACCTCACCACTGCCAGCTTCAGGTGGCATAGGACCACTCATACAAGCACTCCAAATAGATAGATAGATAGATAGATAGATAGATAGATAGATAGATAGATATTGATTACTTTCCTGGGCCACCCACTGCTAACTTGCTTTAGTCAAGAGACAGAAGTAGCACAAAACTGTCCATGCACATTGTCAACATTCTTGAGCTGTACTTAAGTCACCCAAGTCATCCAAGAAAACTTGTTGAAGCTGTGCTCTGGATATCTTGCCAAATTCACTTGTGATAATATTGGAGTTAAAGTCCTGGCAAATACAAGATACTTTATCTGGAAAGTGTCTAGCAAATATACTGCAGTGGCTCTCAGATGGCTGTAAAATATATTTGGACAGTTCCATGGTTGTAATGGAGTCCATGAAATCCTGAGCTGCCCCAGATAGGATGCCCTTGACATGGATGAAAATATCCTCCAGGATCATCAGCCTGGGAGCCTCAACCTCACAACTGAGAAAACCTGTTGCTCTATTTTTGCTAATGTATGCATTTCTGTAAACTTTTTTTTATCTGTATTTCTTCTAAAATTAGCTTTTTTGGCTAATCTATGGAATTTGATACACATTTCTCCCACTGTATACTTAAGCCAGCTTTGCCTAGCCTGGTGCCCTTTGGATTTCAACTGTCTTGACTATAGACATACTGCCTGGGAGAATTGGAAGTTGAAGTCTAAATCTTTTGGAGTGCAATAGGTTGTGGAAGGCTGCAGCAGATGTATTGCAATGCAGATGCATTGACTATACTGCATACAATGATTTAACGATTTGAGTAATACATGCAACTAGATGCACAGAATAAGCAATTATATATGTATGCAACTTTGATCAGAGGACACTATTACATAATTAGAAGGGTGTGAAAATGGTGGAAAAGGCATTCCAGTGTACATATTAGTTCAGGAAGTACAAATTTGGTCAGCTCATACTGAAACAAATATTAAATTAATTTCTTCCCCATTACTAATATTAAGTCCTAATATTAGGCACCATGATTGCACTGAGAAATTATTATTCATACTGTGAATAATTTGAAAGAGAAAAGAGAATGATTGCTAATTATAAATTGTCTTAAACTAATGACAATTTATTTAAAAAAACCCTCAGCATTCATTAACACATGGTCTTTGATTCAATATACATATGGTGGTAAATAAATCATGACTCTCTAGTAAAGAAGGAAATAAGTTGCTAATCTGTCTGTACAATCTTACCTCTAATATAAGTTTGCTTCCAGCACTGTGAGCCTTTAAATGAGTTGTGTTTCTTACAGGTAAAACCAATTTTCCTCGTCTCCACTGAATAGAAGCTGATGGATTAGATAGAACATCACAGCTTATATTGATGGGATTTCCTTCCCAGGAATAATATATTGTTTGATTTGACACAAAGACTGGAGCATCTGCAAAGCAAGGGCATATTACAGAAACATGTTATTGCTTGTCTTCATTCAATCTTATGCTATACAAGGTATTATGGAAGTTTCAATGTATAGGTATATCAAAGCATATTAAATACACCATTAAAATGTATGAGATATTATAGTTCCTGCTTCATTTTGTGACCAAATAAATTTCTGTACTAAATGCACTGTGTGAAAATGTGAACCTGGTTAGAAGAGAAATTAACTTCACATACTGGCCAACATCCTGAACATAATTAAAGATACTTATTAAAATCAAGGGTAATTAGAGTCTTTAATTATACACTGGACTGTAGCCAATTCCTGTGATTCAGAGAATCATGTGATTAATTCCATGTGTGTAACACAGTCCCTGGCTTGAAAACAAACAAAGCTTCCATTTCCATCCTAGTCCAATGCATATTGTATAACTACTGAAAGACTTGCTTCATTTTTGTTTTTTTTCCCCATGAGAAAAAAATCATGTGCTCTATGTCAGATATTGTAATTTTATATTCAAGTAATTCCAGCAGACATAGAAGCTTTGCCAATTGTACCACAGCCCAATAGTCATCCTTTTCTATTTTGCCTCAGTTCCCAATGGTACAATGCACTGAGGGTGCTTTATCCCTCAGAATAGACTTTTAAGGAAAAGAAGGGGGCACAAAAGTCAAATTCCATCACCTTCCTGTTTGTGGATTTTTCTCTAAATTTAATCCATTGCAAACGGAAGCTAAGTCTTAAGATTAAATATTTAAATCCTTAAAGTAATGAGTTTATAAACCAGATTCCAAATCTGGTTGATTTCAAGTAGAAAAACCAAAAGAAGCTGAAATCACTGAACAGATAAAATTACACTGTACAATTCAATGGAAGCACCAAGTCTAGCAACAAATTGAAGTACTACGATATTGGCATGTAAAATGTTATTATGACAGTTAAATTACAGGGTTGTCAATAGCATCTTATTTAACAGCTAGTTCATAATGGACCCAATAATCAAGTTCTATGTTTTATATTTTTGCTGTATTATAGCTGCATCCATACTATTTCTTAATCATATTAATTCATATCCACATGTTCAGATTATGTTGTAAGTGCCTTACAAGAATGATCATTATATAATGTATTTGATAACATCTTAGTGAGATTTACATTGTTTATCATTTTCTAGGCATTGGATCACTAAGGATCTTTGAACAGTATCCAGTAGGTGCTGCACTTCTGCTAATTCCATTCTGTTAATGCATTGGAGAACTACTACTTTCAAGCAAAAATGATCAATTCTAGAATGCGACAAGTCAGTGCAGCTTTCATAGGACAGTTCCACCAACCTGTTCTTATCTAGAAACAAGTATTGGTGCTTATCAGGAGCTTTTTAAGTAGTAAATTTCCATATGGTGAATCCCAACTATGCAACTGACTTAACCACAGTATTTTCTATGGTTATGTGGTTGTTAGATAAAATATTGCCAAAATCCAAACTGAGGTGGACACTCATAAGTGCGTGAAAAAAGTACTAGAAAGATAAAGAAGGGATGCGTAGCATGAAAACACTGAGAAATTGAGTCCTGCTGATTTTTTAAAATTGATATTGAAATGAGATTCTGTGTTTTGAAACCTCTATTCAATCAGCATTTTCCATGTCATAGTCTTGGTAGCAGAGCTAATGAAATTATCTCTCAGCTTCCTCACCCACACACCCACAAATAAGTAAGATAATTCAAAACAAGTTTTGCTGTCACTCTTACACCCAGCCCATCCATTATCCTCTAGCATCTTTTTCTATACAACAATGCATTTTGTATTGTAAGCTGATTTGTGAGAAAAAACAGGTTAAAATTAGTATAAGAAAGTTGGTAATTCACTGCCTAGCTCTTATTTTTGGGAAAAAATACTGAATGCTAATCATGATTAAGTTCCTCTTCAGGAAGCATAAACAAACTTCAAAGCTGTTAGGAAAAGTAACTTCAGGATAAAGATAAAATTCTATCACATTTAAATGGTGCCTTGAAGAGGATCTTTTGGAGGTCATTTAGTATGCAGAGTAAAGAAAGCTTGGAAGAAACCTATGACAATTGCTAAGAATGTAATTAAACAGAAGGCATATTGTATATTTTGTTCTTCAAATAAACCTACATGGTTGTTAGGAAAGTCTTCAGAATGGAATATAAAATAACATCGCTTTAAGGAGCGGGGGAGACCCTCTTAGGTCATCATTACAACTATAAGAAGTGGTGGTGCATAAAATCAATCAAGAAATAATGCAAATCAGTAAACCCTTGGCTAGAACTGTTTCCATGCATTTGAATATTTCCATTATGTTTAATGCCTCAAACTGTTAGGAACATAGTGGATAATACATCACTTGTCACATCCAGCAGGTAATTTAATTAATGATTTCCAAGTTCAAAGTCTAGTGCATGCTCATAGCTGTATTTAAAATAAGATTTGGAAGTTCTACCTGATTCAGCATATGTACCTTTGGAACTATAATGACTAAAGCAGGAAACTGAGGCATTTTTTTCCTGTGCTAAACTAATGGCCAAAGTTTGTAAACATTACAGTGCAATCTTATGCATATATATTCAGATGTAAGTCCCACTGAGTTAAATGTGACTGAGTATCAAATTTACTTCTTAGTTGATATAGGACTACATATGGGTGTGAAAGCTGGGCAGTGAAGAAAGCTGACAGGAATAAAAAAAAATGTGTTGGAAACATGGTGCTGGAGGAAAGATTTGCAAGTACCCTGAACTGACAGAAAGATGAACAAGTGGATCCTAAATCAAATCAAAACAGAGCTTTCCCTAGAAGCAAAAATGACAAAACGCAGGTTGTAATACTTTGGGCAAATCATAAGAAGGCAAGACTCTCTGGAAAAGAGAATCTTGCCAGGAAAAGACAAAGGAAGACTAAATATGAGACCAAATATCGCCTTCAGAGATGCACCTGCAGAGATGCGGTGATGCAAATAACAATATTCTTGGAGGATGTGTCCAGCCTCTAGAGCTACCAGCTGATGGGAGCAAGATTGTTTCCTCTCTTCTGTCCTCTGTATAGCAGGCACTTACAGTTTTAATTCAGGAAGGGTTTTTGGTATGTAAGCAAGTGTCTTGGGTTGGGTGTTATTTTTGTCTATTGTTGTTGTAGGGGTTTTTTTATGATTTTGGTTTATTTAGAGTTCTTGGGATGGTTAACAAAAAAAATCCAAGTTGTTCAAATATTGAATACTGAAGCACTATGAGGAAAATTCGGTCACATTTGCATCCGCCAGGGTCATCTATATAAAATGCTGTCTTGATGCTGATCTGTCTTTTTGTGCATATCCCTTCCAAGAGAGATGCATTTATTATTTGATTTATTTGAGCTTACAAGAACTGCCAAGGACAAGACATTTCAGGGGGCATTCATTGACAGGGTCCTGATAAGTCAGACATGACTTGACTGCATGGAATCCAACAAGCCAACATGCTATCCTATAATCAAATTCCCCAGACAGCTTACAAGAATAATATATATAGATACACACAATTCAGGACACTCATGGCAGAGATCAATTCATCAGCAGCTATGTGTATATAACAGTATATCAGGTTCCAAAAATGGAGCAGAGAAACTATGCAAATAGGAACCCTCTCTGTTCTCACATGGCTTCTAAAAGTCATATGGGACAAAATAAAGAGGATAGAAGCTGGGGCAGGGAAAGATGTATTGTAAAAGAGGCAAAGCTCTACACTAAATACTAAAAGATAAAGAACGTAGTTCATTGAACCTGCTGTAGACTAGTTTCACCTGGCTTCTGCCTCTGTCAGCTATCAACTGACAGCAGCCATTCTACTGGGTTGCAGCAGACAGAAGGTCATGAAAGAGGGTTACACTATTGGCGTTGCTGCAGGATGGGTTGGCTTGTGTTCTTCCTGAGTTGTTTCCATTCAAGTTGACCATACTGAGAACAGCTACTTAACTTTACGATTTCTGTTTCTGGTGCCCACATGTCCTCTTTTTCAGAAGACATTGCTTTATATGAAAGCTCTCATTAGGAGTGTCCTGTATGTTGAAGCCATCATATATTTGGATAATTGCTGAGTTAGAAGAGGTAAAATAAAGTGGAAGAGCTAGACCTTGACATTGCACACTAACAGCACTTGGGCAGCATACTGAGCAAGGTAAACAGGTCATTCACACTATGATGACATGTACTGCATTTCTATATAAATTAAAATGTTTATGTGCACATTTACGTATGTGTGTATATAAGATTTTTGGTCTTGCATGTCCTCTTTAGGTGATTCACAACTGGCCATCTTACTGTTTTCTTCTCCTCCTCCCCCAGCAATCTCTTTTGATTCTTTTTGTGTTATGTCTTTCAGGTTGTAAGTCTGAAGATGGGGATTATCTTTTACCGATCATATATAAGCCATTTTGGAAGACTTTTCCCCCTAAAAAGTGGGCAAAATGCTGTAGATAAATAGTGAAGATGCAGATTTAGCCATGATAGAGTTCACAACAGAACAAAAATGCTGGGGTGGGTGACCACTATGTCTTGTCTGAACCCAGCCACAATGTCTATATTAGTCAAACTAATTAATGCTGAATGTAATGATAGGCATTTTGATCACATTCATTCATAATGCTATCAAAATATCCTAAACTAGATATTCCATTCTAAGCTTATTACTCACTGTTAGTTTAGACCATAGAGAAGGACTATAACTTCAGGAAACTCTAAGAGTACTTGATAGCCAATACAATACTGCTGTCACCTCATCTTGAAAATATTGCATGGAATTCTTGAAGGGGACTCTTTGTGAAACCTCTTAGAACATTACTTTGATCTGAAAATGATCAGTTCAAAGTTTGCATGCTGTTAAACTTTTATGAGCTGGAAGCAATGTTCAAAGAACATGGCTGTATTTTAAAACATCACTGGTAAAAGTTTGTGTGTGTCCGTGTGAGATTTTTGTTTTTTTAAGACCACAAGTCTAAGTATTTTGGGA